CATACAATTCCTGGCATAGAAAACTGCTGTTTGCTTGTACAACTACAGAGGGGTTACCCGAGGTGAAGGCCTCAAGGAAGAATGGCCCTTTGAAAAGGAGCAGGGGGATTCAGCCTGTTCGTTCTTAGAAAATATAGCCTACGTACAGATATTTATCAGCGCTAAAAGCAGATGTTAAGGGCTTTTCTTCCAGGAATCGATGCATACATAAGAAGAGGGAGGAGTTGAAAAATAATGATTTGCAATGTTTCCATGGCTATAATTTCCTCCACGTGAATGTTCTTAACCATGACTGCATACAGAAGTTCTGAGCTTCAATGAGCTTCATTGCTCATTTTCAGCAAAAGCACACAGGAGAATAATGTGTTTTTAGCTGCTTTGTGATCTGTAGGACAAGAGATGCATCAGAAATGCTCAAAACAGCATGTTGTATGTAGGTGCCTGGATTCAAAGCAAATCCTTATTTTTATTTCATTGCTTTATTCTAAACTGTCTGTTTCATAGTCCAGTCAGTGTTTACAAAGAGGTTGAGCTAAGTGCCAAATTTTCCATTTGGTGGATAATTTATTAAAACATTTTGCGCTTTAGAACTGATGAATTTGTAGAGGGGGACCGGTACGAAGTAACATGGGACAAAAGTAATAGTGATTTTCTCAGACTCTGATATGCCTTACTGCGTCTGCGCGTCCAGCACACAATATGCGATGGACTGGTGACCTGTCCAGGGTGTACCCGATGTCAGCTGGGACTGGCTCCAGCCCCCCGCAACGCTGTACGCAGGATAAGTGGTTGACGATGGATGGATGGATAATTTGACGGATCTTTTAGCAGCAGGTCAGTTCAGTCCTTGTTGGGACGATCGTAACAGATGTTTCTTTCATTCCTCTACAGTAACAACGGGCTGCTAATGCGCTCTACTCTTATCCAACCACTGCACCTACAGTTTCCCATGACAAGGATGAGGAATGTCTTGTCTGTAGGGAGACATTCAGCTGATCATTGCCTGGGGACGTGTGGATGCAGTGTCTCTTTTTGGCTGCACTGGTCCCATGAGGCATGTGCACAGAGCAATATATCTGTCACAACTGTGGCAATAAACGAAAAAGAGAACTTGTGTTAGAGATACAGCAAATGAAGTGGGTTATTTTTACACAGTTGTTAGATCTTCTTTTACTGTTATACTGTTCAAACTGTTGTAAAACCTTTGATAAAATGAATAATTGAAATTGAAAATGAAATTCTTTTTATTAACATAAAGGACTTACGTTGTGCCAATATGCAAAACATTAACACAGACATTGTCAGACATTTTTAATAGAAACGATTAAAGTTTATGCCTTTGAGTTTCTATTGACCATAGGTATCATTTACACTGGAGACGTCACTTTTTGAAATAACTGATTTTGTCCCCATCACTTTTAAAAATGTTTTGAAAAATAGCAACAAGAAATGTTAAATAACAAACCTTGACAAAGGTTTATTTTCACGATAAGAAAAAATTTAATGCTCAAAATGTTCTGGGGGAGGATTACAGATCTCCCCGCTCATCTATTTCAGCATAGAATATTTCCTCAAAATATTATTAAAATATCTTCTCATCTTCTTCTTGTGATAAATGTCTCATGAGCTAACGTCCCCACCACTTTTCAAAACAAAGTGACGCCCTTGCTGTTGACCTACTTGTGTTACTTTCATCCTGACTGACGCAGTCAAAATGAACAATTTGCAACTTCCGATCAAAGTCAAATTATTCCAAAGTTGTTCCACATAGTCCAGTCCACATTTGTAGGTAATAGTTGGTATTGACAACTCACACATGTGAGTCACTGACTATAATTAGTTACTGTCTGTAATATTGTTCTCTCTAAAGTACTACTTTCGTAAGCTTGAGAACGCAAGTTATGAAAAATGGAAATCACTTATAGTGATCACGGTTACAGTAATCAACTGCTTATTTATAATAATATATTAATACACATAAAAGCTTGGGAAAGAATAATTCCTATACAAATACTGTTTAAATAATTTGCTAATAGTTATCAAGTAGTCCAAGTTCATTTAAGCTTCTTTAGATTTTGTAATCTTTTGCTTTTGCAAGCCGTTAGCGGCACATCTAACAGAATTGGAAGCTTGGTAATTGGATGAGAAAAATCTTCTTATCACCTTACGTTTTTATTTACGGGGGCTTGTACCTTAAGAGGTGGGGGGAAAGTAGGCTATACCTGTTATTTACACAATGAATTTATACAATGAATCATCATTTAATATCCTCTGCTATTCATCCCATTTTTGTTTTGTTACTTATTTTATTTTGTTACTTACAGGTTGAAAGCTTAACTCAAGTGGACCTATACACACACCCACACACACACACACACACACACACACACACACAGTTACAATCCTTCTGTTTAGATGTTAACTGAATTTAATGGCGAAGGCCAACCATCTCCTGAAACATTCAGGCTTCACACTGCAGTTAATTCCGACACACCAACACACACCAAACTCTATTTCAGCATCCCCTACTCCAGGCTATGTGAAGTGTTTCATCAACATCTCTGTGTGCGTAAGTGTATGTGTGTGTCCTAACTGCTCCGTGACTCAGAAATCACAGAGGGGAGGGGGTCAGGGCATGAGGCTGCGCTCACAAGAACACGTGCATGCTCAACGACACAGTGAGAAACACACGCACATGCGCACAAACACAAAGCGACAATCCCCTGTTGTTGTCACATATTGAGGCGTCCTGAGCTGTCCTCTGCTTTCTGCAGCTCCATCTGCCCTCGCTGCTCCTAATCCAGCTCTGTCCGCTCTACTAATCTACACGTGTGCGCGCGCACATACACACACACACTCCTATAGCTGTATAAACATGCACATGCACACAAAAAATTTATACACCTTTATGCACACACACAGGCAAAGATACAGGTTAAATAATACAAACCCATCTGCTCACATGAGAATACACACACATGCAGATGGAGCTCTGTCAAAGCCTAATTACCTCCCCAGGTAGATGCTACTTTAACATTTTACTGGCTACCCAAATTACCTACATGAAGGTAACCATGGTGATGCCTACATGAAGGGTCATGGGAGTCACCAAAGTCAAAATCTCTTTCTCCAGACGACATGAATACTCACGCAGCCTTTTTTCATACGAGTAATGAGGTAGCAGACCTGCGAACTCAGAAGGGCTGTGTTTGCGAACCAAACCCCAGGCACTATCCCAGAGTAAGATCTTTTTGATTTTAAAACATAAACAAAGAATTCTGGTGAAAATAAAGATACTTTCTGAAGTGTCATTGTTATCGTGTCTGGTTTCAACATTGCGTTTACTTAAATTACTATTCATCCGCCAGAGTACATATTTCTGTTTAAAGTGTTAAAGGTTCAGTGTGTAAGTTTTAGTGCCGTCTAGTGGTAAGGGTTGAGAAATGCAACCAGCGATTCACGGTGCCTTCAAGTGCTCCTCGGATGGACCCAGTCCCCGAGTTGTGAAGTCGTTCCTCCAGCTTCAGTGTGTTCATGTGCTCTTAAATCAGAATGTGGAATCAACATGGACCCTACTACAAAGATGTGTTGGATCAGCATTATCAATACGTATAAACACCCAGACATCTGATTCACTCTACAACAAACTAACTGTATTCTAACTAACCATATTACAAATTACATGTAAAATATGTATAAGCAATACATGATTTTGCACGAAGTAAATTTCTGTATACTTCTTTATGTCCCATGTTCACTTTATTTCTCTTTTTGCACTAAAGATTTAAGGAGGGAAAACACTTTCTGATTATTCCGAGACCACATGAATGCACCATCAATCACTGCTCACCCCTCACTTTCCAAGCGCTCTGGAGAAGTTACGGTGGACGACACGCTCTGTCGGCTCTTGTGCTAAATAATACGTGTGGGCCTCCATTTGTCCAAATTTCCCTTCTTTTCTTACATCCAATAAACCAGTTGACTACTACTAACGTTACTTGTTACTCTTCTTCCTCGTATGCATTTAACGGAGCAGATGTAAGCTTGTTGGCGACATCGAAACACCATGAAATGTCACGAAAGGCAACACTAATGTATGAAATAAAATGTGACGTTAAATAAATACAACTTGTCATGATATAAAATCGTTATTGGAAAATTATGAAAACGCCATTATGAAACAAAAACAGAATTTGAATTGAAAAATATTGGTTATGTTAATTTAAAAAATATTGGTTATGGAAATGTCATGGAAATGCTTTGAGTTTTAATAATTTCCTCCATCTTCCATTTCACAAATAACATAATCGTGTAAAATAATTTATTGCATCACTGTTTCAATGAGTTTAACTTGCCCAGTCTTCGTGTTTGATTCTCCGTCGGCTCTGAACTCACTCTCTGTGAATGTATTTAATGAAGCGACGAGGGCAGCATGTGTGTGTGACTGCGGTTCTGCACGTGCCGGAGAAACAGAGAGAGCACAGATGGCAGCGGAAGGATTGTTCTGCCTTCCCTTTTCCCTTTCCTAAAAATACATTAAATACACCCCCCATACTCCCTCCATCCAGCCAGACAACATCCTTTTCTTTCAATATTTATACAGCTTATGTTGCACAACCACTCATATGTTATTAATAATTTGTTCATTTTCAATTCTTTTTGTCATTAAAGCATCAAGTGACTGAGAACTGTCTCTACAACGCTGTCTATCCTAGTATTGATTTTCTTCTCTCTATCATGTACAAAATGAGTTGTGTGATGTGAAGTGCTTGTGTCCGGACTGTGAGGATGATTTGAACTTGTTTACTTTCATCCATCCATCAATCCATCTGTCTGTGCCTGCATCTATTCTTTCATCTGTCACTTCTGTCAAATCTGCAGTTAATCTCTGCTTTCCTTTCATGTTCACATCAAAGATGGACACACACACACACACACACACACACATGTAGTTGTACAATCCATCACATTTCAGTCAACACACGCCCACACACACTCACCCTTTCTCATCTCCCTCTGATGAGTTGCTATCCTGTTTGTTGGACATTGGCTCCATGAAGCCCCAGTCCCATCCAGCAGCCAATCACAGGATAGTGAGGCGGACCTCAACCTCGCCAGCCTGCTCAGCATTCGCTGGCAGCCCTGTCAATAGACAGCCATCTGAGAAACTGGGTGGTGATTGGCTGGGAGGAGCACGGTGTGCGGGACATCGGTGGAAGCAAAAGAAAGCTGGAGGTGCAGAGAGAGAAGGCGCAGTAAAAAAACAGAAGCATTGTGACATTAACATTTGTACAATTAAATGTTCCATTACATTTTAAATACACACAAAGAAATAACTTTTTTATACTTCATTAAAATGCAATGATTATTGTCCAGATTGTGTTTAAAGATATTTCAACAGTGAGCCGGGCCCTGTTTCAGAAAGCAGGATTAGTGAAAATTCTGAGTATGTTAAGCCTGAGATGAGGGAAACTCTGGGTTTTCTGTTTCAGAGACTGAGACCAGATAAACCCTAGATCAGTAACTCCGGCAACTTATCCTGTGAACCTAATCTCCTCCAGAGGAGGGTACGTTAACAGCAAACGGTCAGTATTTAGTAGGCCTAATCTTTTATATTGTATTCGCACTGATTGGAACATTCATATTGTAGTTATTATACTGGAGATAATTTGAATTGTTCTGAGTGAGGATGACTATGGTGCAGCTGAAACAATAGGTGTAAATGTATAATTGAGTAACCTTTACATCTCTAAACCCCTTTTCTCCAATTCTAGTCCCAGGTGTGGCGCCTCTGTGGGGCCACTATCAAGGTGTAGGATATCTCTTGGCTCAATAATGCTCTAGGCTGTTGTAACAACAGTCGTTATGGTCCGACCGTTGTTAACGACCGTTGTTAGCACTTTTTATATATAGTCTATGGCACTGTCACATGAGGCCTTGTTAAATCTCCTGGGAAGGGATAGAAGGACAGCATTGTATGTGGGGGACCATCTCTTAACATGAAATGACACCACTTACCTACATACCTGTCAACACTGGGATTTGAAAATAAAGGACTTTTGTTACTATTATGTTCATATATTACTTATATAATGTTATTTATTTAAATTTAATATACTATATAATACACCTCTAGTTTAGGCCCAATATTAATAAGTAAGTGATCTGCTTTGAAGGAATTTCTTTAGTTTAGACTGATAAATGTTTTTAACACACTAAGGTATGCTCTGAAAGATGAACAACAGTATCATCTTCAACTTAAAGGTACAACACTCCAGAAGCCAGACCTATTCATTGTTTATCAAACATGTCATGAGGAAATTAAATTGAGGCTCCTCTGCTCTCACAATAAAGCCACTGTGTCCGCAGTGCCCTTTTCACCACTACAATCCTGAATCTATTCGAGGAAACGGATTCCAGACAAATCTAATTTACTATAAGCTACTTACAAGTCTTCTGAAAGGAATTTAGTGTAAATTGTGGCTAAAGTTCACAGCTACAATTAGACCATGCAGGTAAACAGTAAAGGCATCATGAAATGTAAAAAGGAAACAGGCACTCTACATACATATGCCTGCATTTAAGCTGTTTTTCTCTTTATGGATCAATGGAACTGAACTCCAGAAGTTGTAGTGCAAAAAACTGCAACAATGATGATTTTAGTGAGATATTGAGGATGTTTTTTTATGTTTTTATTCAGCTAGCTAGTGTGTTGGTGGGTCAGTCGATAGGTCCAGACTATAATAGTAATGCAACTTCACCGTGAGGTGAAGCAAAATGTCTCAAAAACTGTTGGAGTGATTGTTTACAGTTTTTCTATGGACACATCTCCCTCAATTAAAAGTACTTTTAGTGATCCTCTGCGCCATCAAATCAAACTTTTATTTTACTAAATGTACAAAATTGTCAACATTAAATGTTAACGCTAACAGGGAACTTGTTAGAGTCGGCCAACTACCTAACATCAACAGCCATTCATTGTGTTTGCATTATTTAATTACCTCTTTGAATAGTCATTTTCATTGTTATTGACAGAGTCCACCATTACTGCATGGGACACAAATTGTGAACCCACAAAAAAGGATTTTCACAGAAAGTCATCAATGTACATAGAGTACATACAGATGACATTTGATTGTGAGTTCAGTATTGTTCATTATTGGCAAACCATACTTGTATTTTCCAACCAATACTTTGGGGATGATGCCAATACCAATATTTGGGGACTACACCCCTGCAAAAAATCCTACTTGTGCTGCCATCTAACGCCACGCTTTGTCCATGCCATGTGCAGCGCAGCACTTTAACAATGTAGTGCAGTAATGCAGCAAACTGTGATGACTGATCGGATGCTCTTTGAAAACAATGTGATCCTGATGACTCAATAACCACAAAGAACGCTTGATTCTCACTGGCTGGAGAGTGTGAGAAATTTTCAGACATGCATGCCCCGAAGTCCTCATTGCTGAAATCAAGTCAAATCAAAATCATTGGAAACAACAGCCCGAGCTTCTTCTGTTAGGCTGAATGTTTTGGCTCGTACTCGACAGGCTTCTCTGGTGATGTTTTTCCTAAGTTATCAAAAAGAATTATTATAATTAATCATTATTAACTGTGTCATGTTTCTAAGACTGTGGGGTTCAGACTGGATTATCCTGCTAACACCGTGGACAGTTGCCAGACATGAATATATGACTGTCTATTCATAGTTTGGGGCAACGTTCACAATCCTTTTGGGTGGCTACTGCACGTGTGTCAGAGGAAGAGTCCTTCAAATGTGTCACTTTTACTTTCAATAAACCTATGCTATAATATATAGCTAATAAGCTAAAAATAGACCTGTCGCTTTTCATGTATGAATAAAACCATAAATCCATCACATGTTTCGCCCCAACTCAGCTGCATGCAGCCATGTTACCATGTGAGGAGCAGAAAGCACCAGATGGTGGCACCAGAGTCAGGTCTGGATTTAATTGTGACCTGAGCTGACCTGGTTCCTGCACTGACCCTGGCTTTTTAGAGGCTGTTCTCATATCATTTGGCATCACCACTGGAAAAAACGGAATATAGTTGTTTCTGAAGAATAGCTGATTCCATTAAGAATGATTTATATTTAGAACAAAATTCTTGTCTAAATATATACACAAGAATTTGCACGCATTTGTCACAGCTCAGGATCAATGTTCTAAATGGTGACCTGTAAAGCAAATAATGCTGTTTTAGCCAGCAAGGAGTACAATATGGGTTTCTGGATTTTTGTATTTTATATTGTCCTGAGTTTCAACCCAAAGCTTTTGTAGTACTTTGTACGTGTCTGCAAAAGCTAAATATAAATTTATATGAAAGTATTTTTGCTAGACATAAATAGTAAATATGTATTTATTATGTATACAATATATTAATATATTCCCCCCCCAAGCATCTTTGATTAAATATAACTAGAAATTGCATAAAAATCAACTCTTTAAATCACATTAATGTGTTCATTGTAGGGCTGCTACTAATAATTAATTTTGTTATTGATTAACCTGCAGATTATTTTCTAAATGTATAACTCAAGGATAAAATGTCAGTAAACTGTGCAAACTATCCATCCTGAAGTCCAAGGTGATGTCTTCAGATGTCTTGCTTTGTCCAGCCAACACTCCTAAACCCAAAGATATTTACAATGACAGAAAATTGGAGACAATTTGAAATTCCTCACATTTGAGCAGCTTGAACCAGAGTGTTCCACTTAACAAATGACTTAAACAATGGATAGATGATCTGTTAATGATCTTCGACTAAATATACTAAATATAAATCAATTAATGATTAAGTCAAATTTTTTGAAGTCACGTTAAACAGAGAAACGCTGCAAACCTTCAAATCTGAGAAGGCTTGGTGAGAATATTTATATATTTATTTTGCTTGATAAATGAGTTAAATGACTAATTGGTTATGAAAACTGTTGGCAATTATTATTTTGTTAATGGACTAATTGACTTATTGTTTCAGTGCTAATGCCACCCAAAACAACTCTAACCCTCTCCAAATTCTTTGTTTTGGGTCTTTTTTTTAATAGGACTTAGGACTAATAGGACATAATATAATAATAATAAGAAAGAATGTGAATAAAATAATTCCTAACATTTTATAACAGACTATTTTTTACTACTACTTAATGCTGCCTGCCATGAAACTCAATGAAAACAAAGAAAGCTGAGCAGCTGAGCTCCACTTCTCCAGATGTGACAGTAGATGGCATCAGAGTGTGAGAGAACATATAGACTACCCTATGTATACACACAACCAACACAACTTTTAGTTAAAGTGCTTCCAGGATCTCAAAGTTTTATTCTCTATAAGCTGCACAGATCAGGATTTCGTGAAAACAAACTGACTTAAAAATATTACATATGTATAATAAGCAAGATAATTATTTATATATAATGCTCAGGAGGTTTTCCTTGCAAAATAATCCAAAGAATGCAGTGGCTTCTGAACTTGCTGAATATTATTTTAATAATGGCAAGGAAAAGTACAATGCAAGCTATTTAATGGAAGTGTACGAAATGGAAAAAATACCTATAGGTCTGTGCTTTGTCTGTACAGCTATTCTGGCTACATGTGAGCCCCAGTGCTGTAACGGCAGTTCGCATCTAACACGGTGAATTAAGGATTTATTTAGACCAAATTGCTGATTGCTGTTGCTGATTGTTAGAATAGTGGAACAGACCAGCAATGCCAATTAAGTATTTTCAACTGAAAAGTAAGTCAGTAACAGAAAACATACAACCTACAAAGTACAGTTTCAGTTGAGATAAAGAGGGATTCTAAATATAAGGGACAAAAGATATGATAATTATTAGGTGCTGTATGCCAAAGCTAAGCGTGATGAAGACTTGGGGCAAAACAAATAACAATGGAACAAAGATATTGGCATGGAAGACACAAAAAAGAAATGGAATAAACACTTGAAATAATAACTTGGGCAAATGGTAAATTATAGAAACTTCAAGAAGACATGAAATTTGAATAATTACTTTTAGGAGGTAGAAGGTGCTGAGAAACTTATACAAGGCCTATAGACACATTCAAACTTGGTTTAACAGCATATGAGGCCATGGTCAGTGGTTCAGTGAAGACATACATACTAAATCAGTGCACTGCACATCAACTACAGAGAGATGAGTATGTACACTCTGCTTTGTACACGCCGTACCAGTCTGCCTGGCAATAAGATGGTA